CAGCAACGAACTACGATTCACGAGACCTCTGGAAGTCTAAATCGGCTACATATTTGCCTTCGAAGCATCCTCCAAGTATATTAACCCTTTGCACTCCGAATTAAATCTTGTTACCAGCTGCTCCCAATGCTTTTAAGTGTTTTATTTGAAATTTACGTTAATTAAAAAATATTGTATTTTGTAATTTTTAAGTGTATATCTCTTTGGTTTGGACTTGAAAAAATGTCGAGTCACATTCGACATAGGAGTGCAGATGGTTAACGCTAACAAACAAACGTGTGATCCGATAATTAATTTCACTATGCACCCAAAGAAGTTTGATCAATTCCTATCGATTATACGACTAGTACGCGATACAACTGCACTGTAAATTGTACATTCAATTGAAAATTAATCTAAATAGTTGGGAATAGATTGGCTTCGTAAAAGAAATCGATCTGTAATGGTAGGAATGGATATACACAGAGTGTCGACAGGTTTAGTGTTAAAAAGCGACCATGCAGGAGTGCAGTAGTCCTTTCTTGGTTTCTCCCATGCGATCCTGCAGCTGCAATCCAATTAATCGACGAATCCCCTCTCCCCCACGCTTATTCGTACGTATAATGCAGCGGCCGCGCGAAGAGCGATGCGCTTTCAGGCAGAAACGAGGCCGATCCGCGCATATTACCGCTGCAATATGCATCCCCTGGAACCGTACGTTTCGTGTGGCGACGGATTCATCCTGTTCCGCCAATCCGCCAATGGCTCGTCTTTGATACGAGCACGATGGAAAAAAAACTGCGCCCCAGGGAACCGTGCGGAGGGGACGGGGAGGTAACCCGCGCGGATGCATTTGTAATAATTACGCCGGACGGACGTTGTTTTGCCGCCCCGTATAATCCGGAAATGTTTCGACGTTGCGCAATGGGCTCCGGTTAATTGGCACTTTTTATTAAATTCTACTTTACGTTGCACGGAGTTCGTCCCGGGGAAAGACTCTCCTTTCTCTTTAATTAGTTGCTTACTGTCGCGTCGATCGACTTATTTGCGACTCGTTAGAAATCGCTCGATCCCTGTTTTCAAGTATTTTGAATTTATTCGAATTGACACTTTTTTACTGCCACGTCGTATATGAGTGACAAGACCTTCCCACTATGGAACTAAAACAATTCGTTTTGAAATTGAAATGTTAAATAAATTTTAATAGAACGAAGTTATGCAGTTTAGAATTGTTTGAAATCGAAATTTTGGTCTCGTAAAAGATTGTACAATCTTGCTTGGTTCGACAGTGATTTTCGTTGCAATTTTATTTAGTAACAAAGAAGACATATAGATGGTCTTATAATAATCTTCGAACAATGATTTTGTGCCGCGTTTTCCGCGATGAAAAGTGGAAATCGAGCCCCCGTGGGAGGAAAAGGATAAATAGAGACGCATCGAGTGAAATTTACGGGCTGGTTTCCGGCAACGCGGAAAATCGCGCGAGGAGTTTCGCCGCTAATTGGAACGAACGCGCGAAACCGGACATCGGTGGATTCCTCGTAGGAATTTCGAGGCTGCGAAATAAAAACGGATATCGAGATTACGCGACAGGGCGCGAGAATCGCTGTACCATCGAGAGTTTACAATCAATTTAACGGTTTTACGAGCGTCGCGTAATGGGAAATGTTCGCGCGCGAAATCCCGGTGATCCGGTCGATTGTCTGCCGGATAAAAAGGAGCAGGTTGTGTTTTACGCCGCGATGGAATTTTTGAGACAAAGCCTGGCGCGCGTATCGGTTGTTCCGTGACGATTTACGGTTCGTCGAGGATCAGCCCCGTGTCGCAGACGCGTCTGAATTTTATTCCGCGACCCGTGGATCGCATTAGGTTTTAAAATAAAACCTTCGTGATAATTTTCGATTCGCAACCGGTTGTTAGAACGAACACCGCGTCGAAAGGCTCGAAAAAAATACGATAGGAACTTCTCCCTGGGCCAATCAATTCTGCTTTTTCATCGAGTTTACCATCGCGGCGAACGAAGTCGAAAGCAAATTCAGAAATCGATACGAAAAAACACACGAGGTTGCAATTCCCTGTTATCCCGACCGATACTCTCGCGTTTACATGCAGTTTACGAATTAAAAGAATTTAAAGAAAAAACGAACGAAAAATCTAAACGCTCGAACAAACACGACCGTACTATAAATATTTTTTAAGGGGTGAAACTACACCACGAGGAAGCTGTTTTCGGCGGAGAATAATTCCGTTTTATTTTATCTGGCGTCCGGAGAGTTCGTTATCCGTATCGGTCCAATCGGAGTGCAGTGTCGATGCAAGGAAACGAAGCTTTATTTGGAAACAGGTTGAAGAGAACAAGGGGTTACGGGGTTGGATTGGACAGCAATACGTGTGGCGGTTGTCCTCATCTTTCATCGCGGGGGCGGAAGGTTGCTCCTCGAGGAGAGAGGTCAAAAGACGAGGCGTGAAATAGAAAGCTTGCGTTGAAAGCTGTCGCCGGAAAATAGATACAGGGTCGACCATACGCGAAGCTGGTGTATTCCTTCTTTCGTTCTCCGCCCCCTTTGATCCTTCGTTTCCTTTTACCTGCGTTTCACGAATCGCTGGACCCCCATTCCATCGTCTTTCGTCTTTCGTTTTTTCCTCTATCTCAGGATCGTTATTTTCTATTTAACCCATTTGCAAAACTGTGGCCCTCGAATATGTAGATTTCCTTTTACTTGCTCGTTCGAGATTCATATTTAACACTAGATTTACCTAGATACCTTTCATGTCGACGATTACCTTAAAATACGATTTTTCTTTTAATCAGAATATGTATTCATGCCATTGCATCGATCAAATTCAACACAAGTTGTTAAAAAATAATATTTATGGAACCAGACATCCGTCAAATTGATGGTTTCCGTAAATCTAGTGTTAAATAAGAATTTCGCCCGTCCACGATCTAAACACACATCGCGCTATCTCCAGCAGTTCTTACACGTTCGCGTAAATTCTCCGCGCTCGTAATCTTCGTCTGATGGACACGGGATTTGGCAAAGCTCCGCGCAAAGAAATCTGAAGGGATTAAATCTGGTGATTTAACTACGCTTTGTCTCTTCGCGTCGCGAGACATTTCGGGGCGAAATTAAAACACGTGAAACGGAAACTTTATTTTTTATCCGAGCATCGATACGATATTTAAGTTTCAATTTATTAACCCTTCTTACGAAACAAACAGAACCAAAGAAACATACCTTTAAAACAATAATATCGTCGTGTTTAAAACATTCAAAGGATCGAACGATTAATAGAATATAATTTCCAAAAAAAAAAGATTTTTCGTGTCGTTTCGAGAATTCTATTTCTCCCGTGTTCCCGTTTCGTCGACCCGCCAGATCGTCGCGATGCACGATCAAATATTGCACGACGGGTAGCTGTTTTTTTTTTCTTTCGGTATCGGTTAACAGCGGATCGTTCGGTGTCCCGTAATCCGCGCGAGATTTATCGCGCTAATGCATCGGTGATTCTTACGTATAAAGGGCAGCTAAATCAAAACCCGCTTAAGGAACTCAACGGTTCGGGCAACGTGCCATCGAAACGAAAATTACGATGGCCCGCGCCCGCGAAACTTGCTCTCCAAGATAAATATCGAGAGCGAAACCGTGCGATAACGATTCCTTCGATCGACCCGCGAACCGTTAATTAATAGCGAAGCGTACGTAATAAAACTGACAAACTATCGCTGATCGAGCGCGATATTTTCCGTCAACAGACCGCCCGGAAAGCGAAATAATATATTACATGAGTTTCGAAAACGATCGGAAATTTTGTGCTCGACGAAAGCTACCTTTCCAACTGCTTTAATAGACGTATTCGAAATTAAACCTATTTGCAGCGGGTTATTTGGCCTGGAAAGTTGGACGTGCTTGTTATGAAAGCTCGATCTTCAAGCTCCCATAATTTCATTGATATTCATTGGAATTTGACGAGCAAATTTAAAAGTTTGAACTTTCTACTTTGTGCCCTTAGATGAGTGTGTCAATTTGTGCAAATTTCTTGATATTTATCGAGCACAGATACACAACAATTTTTACGAATGTATACTATCAAAAGATATAATCATTCTTAGTCCAAGCTTGTCGAAAAAGCATGATTTTTCCAAGTGTTTTTAGCGTCGTTTAAAACGAAAGTAATAACGTTCCTATCGACGATTCTTCCCGAATATCAAAACGTGGTATCAAGCTTTTTCGAACATCGAGATTCCATCCCTAAATTTGCCATCCCTATCCCTGATCGAGACAAACGGCGCGAGGATTTTTTACGCCCGCCGTTGCGTATGAAAAATAGTTTACCGCGTTAAAAATATTCGGTCCACGGGGCGAGAGATCCGCCCGAAGCTCGTTGATTTAGGATGGATCGATACCCGGTGAATCGTCTCCACCGAAAGTGGTTTCGGCGGGGAAAATAAAAACGACAGTACGCCAAGGACCCCGCGAACGTGTATCGATTTATTTACCATTTACTCGGTACCGATACTCGAGATTCAAGATATCCCGGTGTCTTTGACGTTAAAATGTCGCCGGGGGTCGCTTTACGCTTTTAAATTCCCGTGTTTTATACTTATTTTACCTACTTCTCGTATACCCCGTTTTACGATCGTTCGGGACACTCGGTATTTCCCTGAAACGTCTCGCCAAACATTTAACATACCAGACTGGCGCGCTTCAAAAGCACGACCGTGAAATATTTATTAAAAAAAGTCTAACGATCCATATTTCTAGCTTCAAGGGTTGTCTGTTCTTTGACCCCTTAACGTACGAGTTAATGTAATTTTTCAAATGTATACTATTTAATTTTGTTCAAATTTCTGCGTGCAAGGAATGGTCACGATGTAAGAATGTAAACATGTGTCGATTTTAATATGTATAAGACTTAATGAGGAATTGTAACGAGTCAGACACGTTATTACACGGCAAGTGTAATTTTACTATTGTTACGTTTGATCCTGTCTGATTGAATTCTCTTTTGTTGTACAGGTGCGATGAGCTAATGACGTAACCGGAAACACGAGGCCCTGAAACCTTGGCCTCGAGTTATCCCCGTGGCCCCGAAACGCTTAATCACGAGTGACGTCCGTCACGACGACATGTCGTTCCTGTTGATTCGAGGCGGCCGGAAGGGGCCCATCATCTGCTTCGTCGGGATCCTTCTGATCTTCGCCCTCTACCAGCTGGGCATCATCTGCGGATCCATGAAGTACGTGCCCACCGCCGTGATGGTCGCCAAAGAGGTGAGCATCCATCCTTTCGAACAATTTTATTCACGTATCCCAAATAAAAATTCAAGCTTTCAACCCTTTGCACTTAACATATTATTGTTTTAAAGTGGGACAAAATGCATAAGCAAAGAATGTAAACAAAGATATGTTTGCTTGGAGTGTTTACTATCTGTTTCGTAAGAATGTGTGCTTAGTAGTGGGTGATCGAAGAATAGTGAAAAGGGTTAAATATAAAATATAAGCATAGATACGAATGAGCATTGATAGGTATATCAAGGCTTCTAACCCTCTCTGAGGAAACGATATTATTGTTTTAAAGTGGGACAAAATGCATAAGTAAAGAATGTAAACAAAGATATGTTTGCTTGGAGTGTTTACTATCTGTTTCGTAAGAATGTGTGCTTAGTAGTGGGTGATCGAAGAATAGTGCAAAGGGTTAAATATAAAATATAAGCATAGATGCGAATACACAAGCATGGCTGGACGTTTGCAAAAAAAATCGGTGTTTGTCAGGGGAATTTAACCCCGGGCCAGTTTTATCGCGCTATTAATTCGACCACTGTAGATCAGAATTTTTCCCTCCCCCTGCCCGCGATGAGCTATTTGTACGCGAACGCCGAGCTTCGGAACAAACTACAACTAGTTTCCCCGCCCCGGGCGACAGTCCGTGAACGAAAGGGGTGAGAATAAGTTATTAATGCCCGGCACGGTCGCGAGATGAAAATAGTTTCCTAATTTAAGGGTGTGATTTAAAATCTCGACGCGTCCAGCGACGATTTACTCGGCCCTGTCGCGAGCGTTTTATCGAGCCAGTTATTTACGAATCTACCGATTTAAAACTGGGGGTTTTTAGAAACAAGGAATTGAATAATTAGACCACCCCTCACCCTACCGGTGCACTCAGGTGGTTTGTCGATAGACTGTGGAAGTTTATGCATTTGAATACTTAAAGTAAGAGTCGAGTTATTGTATTTGGGAGACCACCCTTTACGAAGCTCCCATTTCATTAATTCTAAAAAATATTAATTTGCATAAAGATTCTCACTCTGTTCACACGATTAAACTTATAATTATTTAATATATGTGAACGTAATTATTTGAGAATTTATCCAATTCTCTGTTAGTTCATTATTTTTTAAATTCCTTAAGGGAAAATCAACGTTAAGTAAAATAATTCAGTTGAGATTGAGCGTCCACTTAAGGGTTGAATATAACAGTATCCTCAGGATCAAAATCGAGTCCCTTTAAAGCCAGATTTTCAATGTGCGTTTGTCGATAGTTTCCTCTTAATAGATTTAATTTAAAAAAAAACGAAGTCACTGCTTTGGTCGATTTCTGAAATAAAAAATCCAGCTTGGATACCATGAAACGACTGTTAATGACTGCCATACCACCCATATATGGAGCTAGAAAAATTCATTCTCAAGTGGAAATGTCTCATCAAGTTGAGTTGATTTGTGGATTCTAGCAAGCTGACAAAAATAAGTACCGTAAAAAATTGTTGAAATTAAAATTTTGGTCCTGCAGAATATTGTACTGTTTTGATCTAATACTTTGTTACTGGAACGCGTGAGAGAACACTCTTATTGGACAACTCGATCGCCAAAGCGTAGTTCCAACTGTGTCTCGCGAGTTTCCCGGTAAAATTTCAATGGCGATCCGTACGGAATTAGGCGAGACGCAATTAAAGCAACGCCCGAGCAAACCGGGCGCTTTATCGCGCGAACAAACTCCCCCAGTTGTTCCCTTTCTACTTATTCCCTTGTCCGACCATCCTCAACGTCGACGGCGACAATTAAGTTTGCGAAAGTTTTTATCCGCTTGCTTTATTTGTTGGAAAATTCCATTATGATTCAGTGACGTCGGACGAAGCTCGTATAAAGTTCCTTATCGCCGGTTCAGAAACTTTCCCCTCGGCATCCTTTCGCGGGGCACTTCCTTCTTTTTCGACGCCCGGGGGGATGGGGATACCTTAATCTCTGCGTGTAGAAGGCGTTCTATGGGCGTCGGAGATGTTTAAGATTCAACAAACTGGAAAAAAACATCGACACACTTCGACCAAAGTTCCCTCGTTGCGCCTCGGAATCGTTTACTATAAATTAAGATTGTCAGAATCGAGCCTCGAATGATGAAATCACGTGTGTAATTCGTCAAACACAGCTATGCGTACGAGAACGAGGCAGCTTTTTAACTCTAGAACTACCAAAGCAGACAAAATTACCCATTTGTAATTTCTAATAAAACTTGTCAAAAATTTATTGAATTTTTGAAAATTTATCGTAATTTTCTATAAGAGAATGAATATACATTTATTTCCATTGCATCATATATTTTATCATGTATCTATCGTTTTAATTTCTTTGGTACAAATAAATTCACTATAATTGTCCTTTTATTCTTTCTGCGAGTAGTTTATGAATGCAACTGTTCCTTCGTTACGCCACAGAATCGACGATAAAATTATTTACCATAAATTAAAATTGTCAGAATCGATTCTCGAAAGATGAAATCACGAGGCAGTTTTTAAATCAACAACAAACTCCATCCTTTTACTCTTTCCGCGAGCAATTTATAAATATAAGTACCGTTTAAAAGCACGATAGACATCGTACATGGAATTTCGAAACTCGATTGCTCGGACAACCGAGGCCAAAAAATAATTTTTGCTGTTTATACCGAGCTAACTTTGATCTTCGTGAAAATCAGAAAAGTTTTAATCGCATCCCCCCCCCAGCCCGCCATTGTGGAGACGATTAATTACCGCGGACGAGAGACACGATGACGAGACGGGAGATCGATCCAGCGAGAAGTCGAGGAACGCGAAGAGGAAACAAAACAGAGACACCGTCGACGATGCATTTTAATTTCACGTCGTTGTCCAAGCTTCGACAGCCCCACGCGTCTCTATGCATAGCTTATGAGAACAATCACGGGGACTCTTGCCGGAAACTCGTTCCGTGTGCGCGGGGGACCGAGGAATTTCTTCGAGAACTTTGAAATTGGATTTTTGTTCCTCGGGATTAGCCGCGAATGGATAGGCATCGCCTTGAGTCGGATATTTCAGTTATCGTTCTCGTTCTCGAGCGTTACTCTCGATAAAAATGGTCGATCTTTCATCGAAACGGACCGGGTACGTCTGTCTCGAGGCTTTAAATCGGGAATCGGAGAAGAAAATTGCTCCGCGATCGGATCGCGACACGGATTTATCCGACCAATTGCTTTGTCATAATTGCGGGGTCTTAACTTTCGAGCGACCTTAGATTCGCCTCCGTGACCGATTAATCGACCCTGGTTATCGGCGCGAAACTTCCCCCCCTCGCCCGTGACTTTTACGCCTCCGGAGTGATCGATGAGACGCGAGGACGCGTCCCCTCGATTTAATGGACGGTTAGCGTGGTTGGGAAAGCTCTCTGAAAATGTTCAGCCACCGACTCTTTCTTAATTCGTTTCTTTCGGACCCATCCTGTTCGATTACTTAATATCTCCAGGGATGAGACACCGTAATTAGACGTGGACTCGAGTTTAACCCTTCTGGTCCCAAATTAGATGTCGAATAATTTGACTTGTGCATCGCAGAAAACCCTTTGATCCATATTTTTATATTAGAAGATCCTCTAAAAGAGCTTGTAAGCAGAAGTTTGTTCCCTGTACACGCAACAATTTCTAACGTAGCGTTCGATGATAATTTAGACGGTAATCTCTTAAAAGGTTCCCTGGAAGTTTCGTTAAAATTGAAGAGCACTTCCGGTGGATATTCCTCCGTCCGTAATTCCCGGCGTAAAGGTCTCGAGTAGTCCAAAGAACAAACGACGGAGTCTTGAGGGGGAAAATGGCAAGAGAAATATTACGTTTACGACGATAAGATCTATTTTTCTTCCGAGAATTTCATCGCTTTCTCGTTTCTCTTCCGTCGCGATAGTGGCAGCGATGGAAAACAGATGTGCCCCGATCCTTGGGATGATGGAGAACGTCATTTATTAATGTCCACCGACCGGACAAAACGGAGCCTCTACCCTACGACGATAATTCGAAAATCGTATAAAATCGTCTCAATTATAAAGACCCGATTATGAAAGTCCCACGCGAGATTACAATTTTCTCCGTTCGTTGACCGTTTGGAGCAGATAGAATCGTAGGTGTCCCAGCAGGCGCTTGGACGCCAGGATATTGGGAATCGGTCGAGCGCTTGCGAGGGAAACGGTCCCTCTGGCGGCAACCGCGGGAAGCGATGGTCAAACAGGAGACAAGACGACACGCGTGAATACGTGCAAGCTCGAAACACGGGGCCTGTATTTGCCCAGGTTCCCGTCGACAACGCGCGGGCGGAAGAGAAACGAGTTTCTGTCGCGTTCGCCCCTTCGAGCAACATAAATCGCGTCGGTTGATTTTCACGCGTACTTTTCTCCGCGCGTTTCTGACTAAAAGCAAAAGAGCACGAGGAGGTAGCCACCACGAGCAACGAAGCCAACCCCCGTCGCGTTACATGTTGGAATGCTAATTGCGAAATGTATTTTTTGTTTTCATCCCCCCTCCGCGACGTCTACCCCGACAATGCCGCTTTTATTCCCGAAACGAGGGCTCGTTTCGCGCCTCTTGCAGCCGAAAAGAAGCGCGCGTCGAAGTTTCAAACTCGATCGCGATTAATTAATTGCGCGCGGTCCGAGGGCTCGATCGTCGCATAAATAAAGCATCAGGGCCCGCTAATTAGAACGTTAATTACCGGTTTTTATTAGGATTCCCGCGGCATAAATCGCGGGCGTAGAATTTCAGCCGACCCGGGTTTATTCGCCCCGCGCGCAAGGGCCACAAAGGAATAAAAAAAAAAAAAAAAAAAAACAGCGGCAGACACGGAGAGGCGTGCATTATTTTCACGCGTAAAAAAATGCTAATTACGAGACGTATTTTTTTTTACAGCGGCTGTGTTGTCCCGAACGTCGCACGCGCGTTTAATTTCTCTGCCTCTTCGCGCTGAAAGTTCCCCACTTTTTCCCCGTCGCGGTTGAACAGAAACAAAACCGGAAATGTTTTTGCGTTTCTGTCTTATTAGACGTCTTTTATTTATACGAATCTCTCCCTGAAAAATTATAAATATTGTAATTCCACTGATTCGATTATTTGGGGGTCCTTGTGGTCCAGCGCTTGCGAGAAGAACATTCCCTCTGGCGGCCAAAAGCAAATATAAACTTATGAAAAAGATACAAATCCACGATGGAGTGTACATGTATCTGTTTCTGGCTCGAATAAGAACTTTGAACCATGGTGAATGACCTCGACAAATTTGAACATCTAAAGTCTCTATAACATTTTAAATTGAACTCATAACAAGAGTCCCCTAACCCAGACCGACGCGAGTTAAAATTTACATTATACAGAAAATATTGCGGTTTTCAAAGTCATCCCGGGATGAAAATAACAGCAAAGGGTTCCACGGTTTCTTTTGCGGTTGAAATCGCGAGAACCATAGGCAATAATTCAATTTAAATTTACCCGAGCGTATAAACTAAACGCGAAACAGCGGGGGAGAGAGCAAAATGAGAAAAGAAAGTCGATTCTAAGAAACCTAGCGAAACGTCGTTCGCAGAAGTTTGTAATTGCTGGGAAGTTGTTCGAACTTCTCTTCGATCGAATCATCGAAAGGTACGCCGCGATCCTAATGTACAAAGTCCAAAGCATTATCGATCCCACCCGGCGCCCTTCGTCCAAGTATTTTCGTCCGAGTTCGTTCGTTAGGCGATATTATAGAACGGAACAGGGCGGAAACTTCTTCGTAATTGAAGTTTAATCAAGACCGGATCGCCACCACGGTGCAAGTTGCCCGTAACGCAGCCTATAATTTTCGAAGAATCGTTCAACAAAATGTTCCAACGCGCGTGGCTGTCGGAAACTTTCGATCCTCGTCAGTGCTTCGCCCAATACCGATTGTCGTTATTAACGAGCGGACAGGGCGGGAGATTTCCCGGATTTTCGTTTCTTTGTCCATTACACCCTTTATAAAACTTTTCCCCGCCGGCAACCCCTTTTGCATATAACGAAATTACAGGGGGGGGGGGGCGAAACTTGCTCGAGTACAAACAGACCGTCGACGTATACGATCCCAACTTTGTTGCGATCGATCTTGTACACTCCGGAACAAAAACACATCTTATAATTTCTCTCGTTTCATTAAACAAATGAATATTTCAAGTGGAGTAAAATGATAGCACGAGTAGCAGATTTGTTCTTTTCAGTTGTCAGGTAAATCGTGGTTAATAATGTGTACCCTGCTGTTCTTCGTGCTTAGTTGATTAAAAAAAACGCAGTAAAGCGTTAAATGATATATTTTCGATTTTCAGAAATACGTGGTAGGCCCGTTCGATCACAAGAGGTACACGTACGATCGTTATATGCCGCTAATATTCATCGGCGGTGTGCCGCGATCGGGCACCACTCTCGTACGCGCCATGCTCGATGCACATCCCGATGTCAGGTGAGTTCCATCCGCGGGACAAATTGCCAATTATCGCCCGATACGATTCCCGGTCGAGTATCATTGATCAATCCCGCGTAAAATACCGGCCATCGAATATCTGGGAAACGCATTCACGAATCGTTCTTTTTTTTTCGGGACAGGTGCGGCCAAGAGACCCGAGTGATCCCGAGGATCCTTCAGATGAGGATGCATTGGCTCAAGTCCGAAAGAGAGAACCTGCGACTATCAGAAGCTGGCATTTCCAAAGAGGTGAGTTCACCTTTGAACCGGTAGATTAAACAACCCCGAAAAGACAAAATTCTACCACGATATTTGCTCGTAGAAACGAGACTCTGTTCCTCTGTCAGCCATATTGTAGCCCCAAATGCAGCTAACTTAATTTTTCATTTGTACTCTTAACACATACATTGCGAAATCCTGTAGGTTATATTTTAATTTATTATGGAATATTTTTCTATTAAACTAAGCCATTCGTAATGTTCTTAATTATATATAAAACGAAAATTAGACGTGGGCACGTGGGCGAGTTCACCTAATCTCTTTTAGAACTCATTTGCTCGACCCAATAGGAGCCATGTTAGCCATGTATTAAACTTGAGGATTTGTAAAAACATTGGTCGAGAACATTCTTTCTGTCGTTGCAGAGACATGTATAATGAATGCTGATCGATGAACTGTAAACTTGATTGTTCGCTTTCAGCAGGGTTTCGCAACGCAGATATCGATCGATCGTAAACATTGACCGCGTATGGAAAGATGACGATATTAACGAAGAAATGAACGATTTGCCCAGGTGATGGACAGCGCGATAGCGGCGTTCTGCCTGGAGATCATCGCGCGACACGCGGAACCAGCTCCGAGGTTGTGCAACAAGGATCCCCTCACTCTCAAGATGGGCTCTTACATTCTCGATCTCTTTCCAAATGCCAAGTTTATCTTCATGATCCGCGACGGCCGTGCCACCGTGCATTCCATTATCTCTAGAAAGGTATGCCCGATCGAAGCTTCGGAGCAGAGAGGCTGCCGCCGCCTGCGCCGCTTTGATGCATGCAAATGTATCCCGCCTCGTTCGCAAATATTAAAACGGGAAGAGAAAAGAACCCGTAAATCCGACGATTCTCTCGAAGGGATCAAAACGAAACACGAATTTGTGGAAATTTATGTAGATATCGACTCCATTTTGCAACTGATGTTAGCTCTATTAGAGACGGATCTCTTAATAATTACGAAGAGATTCAGTATAAATATATTAACGATATATTTTCATTAGATTTATCGAAAGTACGGATCCTTGGATAACCACTGATAATTTCTTACGAAGAGATTCAGCATAAAAATATTAACGATGTATTTTCATTAGATTTATTTCAAGTACGAATCCTTGGAAAACCACTGATATTGTTGTATCGTCTTTCAGGTGACCATAACAGGATTCGATTTGTCGTCCTATCGACAATCGCTGATCAAGTGGAACCACGCGATATCCATAATGTACGGGCAGTGCAAGGAGATAGGGTCGGACAAATGTCTGATGGTTCCTTACGAACAATTGGTGCTGCACCCGCGTCAGTGGATGAAGAAGATCTTGAACTTCCTGGACGTTCCTTGGAACGAGTCTGTCATGCATCACGAGGAGTTCATTAACAAACCGGGCGGCGTGCCACTTAGCAAGTAAGAAAGCAATGAGAAGTTAGAAATTCGAGTTAATTCCATACCTTTGTTAATTAGCGACACAGCATACCCTCAATTATCCTTGCTAATGAGTATTAAATTGCCTCGAATAGACAAGTTTCGTGCACGTAGAAGGCTAATATTCGGCTACATTTTTGGCATTGCAGGGTCGAGAGGTCGTCGGACCAGATCATAAAGCCAGTTAACTTGGAGGCACTGACCAAGTGGGTTGGCCACATTCCGGACGACGTAGTCAGGGAGATGCCTGACATCGCGCCGATGCTTTCTGTCCTCGGCTATGATCCTTATGCTAATCCGCCGATCTATGGAGCGCCGGACAGGCTGGTCAGCGAAAACACGAGACGGTACGTAATTCTTCAATTAACCAAGGAGGACACACGTATAATCATACATTAACAACCGAACTGTCCCTCGTTAAATCCTCTGTACAGAAGCCAGGATCTTCACGTATTAACCAACGTGTTTGTTCTTGCAGGGTGCTGGCGAACGGAGAAGTGTGGGCGGCCAGAGCGCGCCAGTTCTCTCTAGAGAAGCTGATAGAACTGAGCAACGAGGAGGAAACCACCAACACCCCAAACGCGTGACCACGATTAGATCTATCCCTAGACTCGCGGACCTTGAACCTGTACAATTTCTGTAACGTCTAACGACGCCTCCGGAAGCCAGTTCGCAACGGAATGCTAGCCGACGAGCGCCAGAGCGAACGTACTTTCTGTCGTTCGACTGTTCCCGGGCGAACATCGAGGACAGCGGACCGTGACCCAACGAGGAACCAGGGAATACGAAGATCTTTCTAGCTTAAGAGTAAGTCCGGATCGAGCGTACGCGTCAGTGTCTCGATCCACGTGGCAACCTGACGCGACCGCGATAATTGTTAATCTATTCGTCTCTGTCTCTCTGTCGCTGTATATTTTAAACGGTAGACGTGTCACGCGAAATGGGAAACGTGTACATAAAACGGCTTAGTTACTTTACCGTGATTCGACTTTCGGTCTTTCTCTTCGCGCGAACGAAACGCCATGTAACTTGTTCGCAAATCGATTCCGTTTCGTTTCTCCTTTTAATCGTTCGCGACCAAACGGAAATCGTCGGAGACACGATGAACAATTTCTGTACAATTTCGACCAACGGCCAGTGATAGGAACGTAGAATGACGAAGTTACGTGTGAAAACCGTGTACCGTGTGAGACGGACATGCAAGGGTATCGGTGAAAAGAAGGCGGAAGAAGACAAACGAGGCGCGATGGAATCTCCTTTTCCATGATAAAACGCGCTACTCGTTTGCGTATCGTTAACAGCAACGAACAAATATTCGAGATTAACGTGGAGAATGGATCTTTATAGTGTATCATGTATTATGATAAATGACTTTCGTCGTATTCTACATCGGAGTGAAGAGGAGCGATGGCTTTTCGCGTGTGGTACTTGCTGGTCACCAAGCCACAGGAAACCCTTGCGTTCCTTTTGTTCGGTATGTTTCTTTTCTTCTTTTTTTTCTTTTCTTTTCTACGTTTATAAAGTAGACTAGCACCATCAACTATCGAGGATTAGGCTATTGAAATGTAGAACCAGCGAAAGTTTCTTGTTGTACCGTTCGTATTAATATTTATAAGCCGCCGAAAAGTGTGAAAGTGCGCCGGATTGATGTTCGCGGACGAACTGTTTAGTCGATTAATCGTTCCCTCGGTTTGTAATTTACCCGTGTACTTTCGTTATCGTCTATGAATAATGGCGGGCAGCGATGTCCGTCCCGAACAACATTACGACTCCAATGGAACATCGTCGTTCTCGATCGTTACTAGATTTCGTCAACCGGCAATCGATGCAAATACAATTTCGATGTGGCATTACGTCATTCGTGTCAAACATGTTACTGTCTATCGAATTATACAGTTAAATTATTTTAATATTACCAAACCTTGTGCAATATCCTTCCCTTGACCCAATACGAAGAAACTATCTTCTCTGTTTCAATGGTCGCATTGGACATTATCTGAACGAGGTAAGTTCGTCAAGAAATAGTTCATTATCGTCGACGCAACATGGTGATAGATGGTCGCAGATACTTGCAAAAATTCTCTCCGATTGCACTATCATCTACATATGTACAATACGTTCGAATTTCTCAAGAAATAGTTCATTATTCTCGGTACTAAGTCTCGTTCGATCGCAAAAATGTGTAGCGTTACTCCTCTATTGCTAATATCACCACAGACGAGATATACGAGTAGATCTCATCAGAAATCATTTTCAATCGTTCCGAAAAAATTATTTTCGATTGCGGGGGTCAATTACAATCATTCTTGTTAAATACACATACCCCCAGAAATCCCAACTCTTTCGTGAACAAAATTCATTACCGAAAATCTAATGTTAGGTCAGAATTTTTGTCCTGAAATTTCATGCGTATGTTTAAAACATAACTTCTGACCGGATTGAAGGATTTTAATGTTTCAACATGAAAACAACGCGTCTCTCGGTGAAGAATATAGGGGCGGCTGCTGGGATGGGATGCAGTGATGGGGTTATCAGCCTGAGAGGATTGGTGGCTGCATCTTAGCATGGCATCACCGGAGATCGGAGTGAAAGCTTCCGGCGGACCATTCACAGGTATGAATGTGTTGTGTGTCTGAGTGGACTGTGGCATGGGACATTTGCTGCGGGTTCTACCTAAGGTCGCGGGTGAGTACTGCAGCCAACGTGACCCCTCGGCTATGTCCCATGTCCCAGGACCCGCAGACGCTAGTGACCAGGCGTCTGCGGGTCAGTGTTAATGGTGGGAGGTTTGCCTCCCACTGAGAGAGGCCTAAAAAGGCAAGACAAGGCGGGGGACTCTGCGATGGCTCACTAGAGTCCCCCGCAAGTCGTCTGAGAATGGTCACCGTGGGGTTTTAGCCGGTAAGAGTCCGGCACTACTCGCCAGCCCTCTCTTCATCCTTTGGACGCCCAAAGGATGAAGGGAGAGCTCGCGAGTGTCCATGAGGATTTCCCCACGTAAAAGAACAAAAAAAAAAATAGAAATTACGAGTTTAAACAGGTCAGAAACGAATTTCAAGACCACCATCATTGTAAAAGTGTTCTGGGAACATTGGAAATCCGGATTTGATAACCGTCAGCTCTCGTACCTGCTGCCAAAATCAAAAAGTCCTGAAACAACTTTTGGGAAGTCCTGAAACAACTTTGGAAGGTCCTGAAACAGCTGGAAATCCCTGAAACAACTTGGAAAGTCCTGAAACAACTTGGGAAGCCCTGAAACAGCTGGAAAGTCCTGAAACCGCTGCAAATCCCTGAAGCAACTTTGGAAAGCCCTGAAACAGCTTGGAAAGTCCTGAAACGGCCGGAAAAGCCTGAAACAACTTTTGGAAAGTCCTGAAACAACTTTTGGGAAGTCCTGAAACAACTTTGGAAGGCCTGAAACAGCTGGAAATCCCTGAAACAACTTGGAAAGTCCTGAAACAACTTTTGGGAAGTCCTGAAACAACTTTGGAGGGTCCTGAAGCAGCTGGAAAGGCCTGAAACAACTTTGGAAGGTCCTGAAACAGCTGGAAAGTCCTGAAACAGCTTTGGAAAGTCCTGAAACAACTTTGGAAGGTCCTGAAACAGCTGGAAAGTCCTGAAACAGCTGGGAAATCCTGGAATTTCTTGGAAACGCCGAAAATTCTTGGAAACCCTGAATTTTTAGCAATGTTCTGAGTTTCAGGACTTCCTAGTGGGTTCAGGGAAACCAAGGAGTTTCAGGGAGTCTTATAACTAAGGTAATGATTTGGAGAGGAAAAGAAAGGTAAAAAATGATGAGAACACATAGAATTCTTTGTAATTATATCATTTATTGCCATAGATTTACATTATACAATGTTTTAATACATATATATCATGGCAGAAGTTGTTAACAAGGGTCAGCAGTGGTCAGCAAGGGTCAGCAGGGGTCAGCAGGGGTCAGCAGGGGTCAGCAGGGGTCAGCAGGGGACAGGAGAGGCTTGCAGAGGCAAGCAGAGACCAGCAGGGGCAAGCAGTAACATGTAGTAATCGTCACACGTTGTTGGAAGCATCGGTGGTGGTCAGCAGTGGTCAGCAGTGGTCAGCAGAGGCCAGCGGATGCCAGCAGTGGCAAGGAGTGGCAAGCAGAGACCAGCAGGGGCAAGCAGTGGCAAGTCGTAATTGTTACACGTCGTCAGAAATATAAGCGGAGGTCAGGAGAGGCCAACAGAGGCTGGGAGAGGCTGGCAGTAACCAGTAATAATCGTTATACGTTGTCGGAAGTATCAGGTGTGGTCAGCAGTGACCAGCAGAAGCTAGCAGAGGCTGCGAGAGGCTGGCAGTAGCCAGCAGTAATGGTTATACGTTGCCAGATGTATCAAAAGTGATATCTGAAATGATATACATATGTACGCTCATACATAGGAATAATAAAAAGGAATTTATTTTTGTTCAATAATTCAAATATGATCGGGGGGTCTTAAAACGTGTATTTCCGTAAGAAGAATTTCACAAAATTTTGTTTCATTATAGTACCTTGCTTATGTTCGTCTACATACATAGGTCGGAAAGTAAAAGATACCTGGGCAGTCGAGACTTGGAATCGTATGCCCTCGACGTGAGGTCGAATTCCAGTTGTTCAAGAGCGAGAAGGCAAATGAGGCTTCCTCTCTCGACTCCCACGAGACGGTCCGAAATTACTTCGGGCAGCTTCGGAGAATCGAGAAAGAGGGCAGCATGTGTCAGTTTGCCTTTGTCGACTCTCCGAAACTCCACGAGCTCACGTACGCATGATCGGGCGTAGTGTGAGGAATTGGAACGAGGTATCTCCGGTAATCCGTCTGGCATTTTTGATATGTTATTTTACTATCCAGTCTCTTTGTAAATAGATTGTCAGTCCAAGCATTAAACTATTCTGTATGATGTATGCACAATTTGCTTCTTAAAACTGACTTTCAATACATATAACCTATACGTGACAGTCGCATTAAATCATTGTAAAAGTGAAAATGAGTTTCAAACGAATTAGACTATCCCTCTTCCATAGAACTTATAGACAAAAGTTTCTTCGGTTAGTAAGGAATGCATCATTTAACACCGAGCAACACAAATTTGATGTGATTGTTGTTGGGGGTGGTCATGCTGGCACAGAAGCGTGTGCAGCTGCTGCTAGAATGGGTGCCAAGACTTTACTGGTTACCCATAAGAAAAGTACAATAGGAGAAATGTCATGTAACCCATCGTTTGGTGGAATTGGCAAAGGACATCTCATGAGAGAAGTCGATGCTTTGGATGGAGTTTGTTGCCGTATATGTGACCTGTCTGGAATTCATTATTTTGTATTAAATAAGAGGAAAGGACCGGCTGTATGGGGGTACAGGGCACAGATCGATCGTAGTTTATACAAAAGACATCTTCAGGGAGAACTTTTCAACACACCAGATTTACAAATTTGGGAATCATCTGTCGAGGATTTAATTGTACAGGGAGATACACCAAGTTGCCATGGAATAATTCTAAGTATGCCTGTTTCTATTATCTAATTAAATTATATAATCATTTTGGAAAAATTACAATTTTTGAAGGAATCCTGTTGCAGAGGATGGAACAAAGATACACAGTGAAGCAGTTGTTATAACAACAGGCACCTTTCTGAAGGGTCAGATTAATATTGGCTTGGAGAAGAGGCCTGCTGGTAGACTAGGCGATGAACCAAGCATCGGTCTAGCCAATACCTTGGATAGAGTGGGATTTAGACTTGGAAGATTAAAGACTGGTAATTGTGTTACTTATTAAACTCTTTCTGTACTCGGATACAACAAATTTATGCATTGGATCATTTTAGGGACACCGCCGAGATTGGAGCAATCTACCATAGATTTTTCTAAATGTAGGGTACAGATACCAGACAAAGAACCTACACCTTTCTCGTTTATGAACGACACCGTTTGGATACCGGCAGAAAAACAGCTAAACTGTTACGGTACATCGACGAACGAAGCAGTCGCGAAAATAGTAAGGGATAACTTGCATTGCAATTTGCACGTAACGGAGGAACTAACGGGTCCACGGCACTGTCCGAGCATAGAAAGCAAAGTTTTAAAATTTGCGGCAACTCGACACCACGTTTGGCTAGAACCAGAAGGCTTGGACTCTCCCATAACATATCCATCCGGATTGTCATGCACGCTTCCCGCCGAGAAACAAGAGGAGCTTATTAAATGTATTCCCGGATTAGAGAATGCTAAAATGTGCAAGTATTTTCTCTATAATTTTCTCCGAAGCGTTTAATCAACTTTGGTAGAATTCGTATCATTTTCTGAACAGTAACGCCTGGCTACGGAGTGGAGTACGATTACATAGATCCCAGAGAACTGACCGTGAGATTGGAAACAAAAAAGATACCAGGATTGTTTCTAGCTGGACAGATAAATGGTACCACCGGCTACGAGGAGGCAGCTGCACAGGGTGTCGTGGCAGGCGCTAATGCTGCAGCTAAGGTATTCATCGTCCTATCGATTCATTGATTTTATTACTCGCACGGATCTTTTAAAACATCGAGCAAACATTTTGAGCAGGTTCTCAAAAGGAAACCACTGATAGTAAGTCGAACCGAGGGCTATATCGGTGTCCTTATCGACGATCTCACTACCCAAGGAACGAACGAGCCCTACAGAATGTTTACCAGTCGAGCGGAATTTCGAATGAGTCTGCGATCGGACAACGCCGACGCGAGGCTCACGCGAAAGGGGTACGAAACCGGCTGCGTAGCCGAGGAAAGAATGGCAAAGACCGAGAATGTTTTGTCGAAACTGAAGGACAGCATAGATTTGTGCAAACGCGATTTACGATCGAGCACTGAGTGGCGAAAATTACTAAAACTTCGACCATCGAAAAACTCTAATATGAAATCTGCCTTTGACATGTTGGGTCTAGCGGACAATAGTGTGACCGTCGATACGTTAATCTCGACGTTTCCCGATCGTTTTGGTTACCTCGCCGACGACTCCAACCTCGCCCGGAGATTACAGGTTCGCAAACATTATTATTATTCATTTATTAACGGGATTAAACCCTTTGGTACTAAGATGTAACATATATGGAACTGCAGATGTGGATTTTACATAGTCAAACATTATCGCTTGGTGAATTTAACAAAAATAAATTAATTTACAATATGTTGCAAGGATTTAGACTTCATCTTTAGACTTTCTAATGATTGTTGGATTAAATCTAATTCTGAGATCCAAATGTTGTGTGGTAACTTTCAGAGTAAAATAGAAACTGATTTCTTAAATATCTAGATGGTACATACAAAGGAAACAATTGAGTAATAGTTGAACACGAAATACGACCTTTGATTAGCTCACTTACAAACATAATATCTGAGATTCTCCTTCTACTATGCAATGTTTGAAGATTAGTATTAATAAGTCATCATAATTATGTGATTCAAGAGGCATGGGACTCCCACTATGCCTAGCAAAGAGAGGAAGAAATTTGTGTTGAACTCTCTCAATGTTTTCGATGTATGTTTTGTAATGAGACAAAATTATGCTGCATATCAGATATTAAGTGTATTAGTTTTACTAAAGTGTCTGGAAAGCCTGTGAATAAGTCCCAGAGAGCAGAGTTGTCCGTAGTTGGTTCGTTCCCGTTAGAAACGCACGAGACCGTAGTCGTCGTATCTTATTACGAGTAATATCGGTAAATCAGTACAGATTCGTCGTTGATTGTTATGACCAATCAATTGATCTTCTAGATAGAAGCGACTTATGCGTATTACATCGCGGAACAACAGCAAGAGGTCAATGAAATTCGCAAGAACGAACAGATGACGATACCTCCAAACATCGACTATAGCATGTAAGTGTAATTATTCGGAACGAAAGTTGTCGATATCTATTAACCATAACAGTTGACTTTACTATCGATTCCAGGCCTCGTTTGTCATTATCCATGGAAGAGAGGCAGAAGCTCGTAGAATTGCAACCGTACACGGTAAGTTCGATTATTATTGCATTTCGCGTAATTATGTGTATCATTGTTTCTACTTGCCAGATCGCTGCAGCCAGTCGAATCGCAGGCGTAACACCGGCGGCTATTTTGCGGTTGATATATTATATAAAGTATAAGTGTAACCCAAGTAGCGTGTAAATCATTATAAATAAAGAATTTGACACGACGATTTTCACAGAACTTTCTCCCGAATTCGATATCGATCACCCCACGTTTGCCTCGATAAGTGCAACGGACTGAACATAACCAAAAATAACCGACGCGATCGTTTACCGAACAATCGACCTGAATTCTCGATGCTCGACCAACATCGATAAACGGTAAACGTTCGACTTACCAGCAAAGTAAACAAAATGGTCGTTGCCCCCTTCTCGATTTAACCGCTGAAACGCGCTGTGCTCATCGATCCTCTTTAAATACAGGCTTGTCTAGTGTTTGACAAGAATTATCGAAAGTCGATGTTTGCCACCGTTTCGAAACGTTACCAGGGAACTGTCGGTAAAACGAGCGAGTATGCACTTCGTCGAATATTCTTCGCGTGCCACGAGCTTGTTACCGAGGGGACGAGTCTAATTGCGGGACGCCTGTAAAATTCGTTCGTTTATTAAGACCGGTTAATTGTCCCTAACTTACGACGCGGTCGAAGTTTCCGTTTCGCTCTACGCGACTAACAACGGAGTCCGTGGTGGAGAAGTTACGTGATCGAATTAGTCAAGGTACGTACGACCCCAAACTTCTCGCTACCAAATCGATGATGCATACCTGGAGTAAACGTTGTTACCGAGATTATTGGAATAATTAATTTACTTTATGGCGGCACGCGAATCCGTGGTTAGGTTAGGTTATTCAATGTGTCATTTTAAGATATTTTCTATAAGTTGGTGCGTTTTGAATAACCTCTGAACTTGTTGCATAGGTAATTTTTAATTTTCGTATCGGATTGGAGAACATTGGGAATATTTTTCTTTAATTTTTAATGAGGAGCCTGACGATGAGTGAAGGTAGGCGAAAGACGTACTAACAGTTACCATTTATTACCATTAGTACCATAGTAAATACTGTTACGATACATTGTACAGGAATGGTGTACGATCGGCCGTAGTACAGGGTCGTTGTAATCATAAATTCTCTACCATAGTCGTCGGTTTCTTTTCTACATGGTTTGCACGAATGACAACGAGCCCGTGGTCGAGCTCGTCCACGATGCACGACGCAGTTAATACTATTGTCTCTCTGTATATAGCCTCCGCGGCGTCTCCGAAGAGTCGACGTACATCTCGGTATAACAATTTTCGCGTTCGCTCCTCCGCATCGACGGTAAACGGTCGCCGGATGCGAGGAGGGGGGTGTAAAAAATATACAAAAAGTGACGAGTGATTTTGGCCAAACTGGTAAAACCTATCGCGCGTACGATCCAACGTCGAGCCTAATTTACACGTCGATGGTACAAGATGGACGCAAAAGTTTTCCATAAAAAAAAAATATCAGTCTTCGGAAGTGATAGAAAATTTTGAATCGCCGTTCGGAAATAATGTTTGCTTTGGAATTTCGGATTTTTCTTTCGGATCGTTTCTTTTTACGAATCACATACCGACATTCCATCGCGAACGTTCGACGATGTTAAATTCAACGTTGGATTTTCCGCCGCGCACGTAAATTACGCGGAGGCACGCGGTCCCCCCCCGATAATCGGTTACGCGTCGGTCGACCGCGATCGCGAGGTTTCCCCCCCCCGTGAAACGATCGCCTTTTTCTCGCCCAGAACACGATCGCGCTCCGTGCCCCCCCGTAATTCACGAGTTTCTTAACTCTACGCCTCTATACTGGCAAGCTACCGTGTACGTTTATACGCTTACGTGTACCCTATACTGGGGGGGCTATCGATACGAGCCTATTACTCAAGACACCCCATAGTTAGATTTTGAATCTTTTTAATTTCGGAAGCTTCGTTCCCCTTTACGAGTCTCGAAAAATAAATCAACTCGATCAAATTGGTATTTCTCGACATCAAAAGGTATAAACCCTGATCAAGTAATTAAAAAACAAATATGCAAACTTTGTCTTATCGTAAAAGTTTCGACGATTTAGGGTACTCGAGTGTCTCTGGTATCGATAGCACTACTCTATACGCAACGTTTCTCTTATTGTTCGCCAACTACTCCGAATAAATTAGTTTAAGGCTACGGGTGTTCCTCAGCTTATCAGATTACGCTATCTATCCGACGAACTATAAAGTTAATGTACAGTGAGGTCCGTCCAGCGATCAGCTTCCAACGAAGAACGATCCGAAGATTCGCGTTCCCCTCGAATCGGGCCGCCAATTTCAATTTGGTAGTAATCTTTACAAAAGGATCAATTTTTAAAGAATCTCTGGCTCGCGTGGCGACCCTGCTCGAGCCTGTCGCGACGGACTATAATAACTTATACGCTTAGTGGTTAGAGCAGCGTTATCGTTCGTTAATCGTGATCTAACATCCGCTATAATTACACGTAATACAATAATGACGGGAAAATGTTATCTACAAGGATACGATGGCGCGCGACGATCGATGCGCGCGACTCGGTGCCAGTTCCGCGGCTGTGGATCGATCGATCGTCGACGAGCAGGATTTCTATTTCGAACGAAAGACGGGCGATTTTTATCCGTTGGCTCGTCCAATAAAAATTGGGATTCGAATCGTTGAATGGAGTATTTATCACAGCAAAATGAGAACAAATGCAACTGTTCGATGAACGTCGTAAATGAAAACTGTTGTTCGAATGAAATTCTGCCCGTCTCTGACGCAAAGCACGATCGTGAAAGCTCCGAAAATCCTGTCACCGCGCCTTGTCGCGCATTGTTCGGTCGCGATTATACACAGCGAGGGGATTTATAACGAAGTTACCGCTCGTTAATATACTAATTACATGGTGCCTCTCGCACGCTCGCATTGTCACGCGATTACACGCGACACGCGACTCCGGGCACACAGCACACGCGACCGCCATCGAAGTCTCGTTCGATTTCTCTTAATCTTTCTTTTACTTTACGACCCTCCGCGGAGGGGAACGCTTAACAATTAGCGACGGGACTCGCGCTAATCGCTCTGATAACATTCCAGATAAATTTTAATCCTTGCTCTGCGTTTCAAAATATAGGTCTATCGATCTACTTAATATGTTTAAGGATTGTAAAAGATTTTCACCTGTAATATTTCCATGTGTTGAGGGGTAAAAAGATAGTTTGTTACTTGGCAGTATCGACTATTAGCCCCGTTGTTAGCGAGAATTGCGAGAATTGTTTCGTATCGAAACTTCGACGTGGCGGTTCCACTCACACTCACACCAGAAAGGAAGGAACTAACGAGATATATGTGAAACCGTCTGTTCCCGCTCGAAGATTCCCCTCGTTTCAATTTGTACAGACACACCAGAGACTGGTCAATTTTTAGAATATTCGTTTCATGTTTCAAAAATGATTGCTACGAATTTAACTTTCCATAGGGCTGGTTGACCCGAAGATTTCCTTAAGGTTGTGTTATTATATCCAAACTTATTTTGAAAAATTATAGTTCATGGTTTTATTCCTCGAATTCAATATTTCTCGCTTGGTCCGCGTCTTTCCTTTAATACTGAATTAAATACTGAATCGAGATCAGGTCAAGTCTGACCAGTGATGGGTACAATCTCCTTCCTATGAACATTCTGCAACTCTGATGCTATTTGAGATCTGTATTATCGAAACGATTTGGTAGATCATGGTAATTAAATACTGAATCGAGAACAGGTCAAGTCTGACCAATGATGTGCACAATCTCCTTTTTATGAACATTCTGCAGCTCTAATATTATTTTCTGTATTATCAAAACGATTTGGAAGGTCTTGGTAATTAAATATTGAATCGAGAACAGGTCAAGTCTGACCAGTGATAGGTACAATCTTCTTCCTATGACCATTCTGTAACTCTGATATTATTTTCTGTATTATCGAAACGATTTGGTAGATCTTAGGGCGGAAGTCTGACGGTTTCTGCTACCATGAGCGATGGGTATGCGGCTCAGTCTCTTGGATGCACCTGAAGAAACAACGACGATTATTACTCTACTCCCGTTTACGCGTCGACGACTACGCGCGCGTGTGTTCTTACGAATATGAAACTCGAGTGCGAGGTACTAACTCTACGTGGACGTAAGACGGTTTTTTTTTTATGCGGTGCGTGCGATCCGACGACTTTCGATGACGCATCCCTCGATTGCATTGTAATTTGATTTAAATCAACGAACAAATCATCAGATAATAACATTTATATATCTACGAAAGCGATGCAATGTAATTTGTCCACCAGTCTTTGAAAAAAAAATTATCGTTCAAGTTGCAATCGAAATCGAAAATGGACGACGAGTTTACGGTTCTTCGGGCAACGTTGCAAGGATTTCGGCGTGATTCGATTGTTGTTTCGCGGTCGGGTAACCGTGATTAATTCATCGGCGCGGGGCAAATGAATCTGTCGGCGAACGTCATCGGAAGTTACGCCGGAAATCGCGCGGAGAAATGGTAATCTCGCGCGCGTTGGTCGCACGCGTTGCGAGAACCGAGGAGATTTCACCCGGGTCTCCGTCTGGTTCCCCATTGTATACAATTCGGCACGTTGAACACCACATTTGGAAGGCATTTCAGAAGGCATTGAATTCCTAGAGTGTATTGTCACGAGTTGTCGTCGATTATGCCCTGACCTACCTACGTTATGACTTCGCGAGAACGTGACTCGCGCGTGAAAAAGTTTTACAAAGAAAAAGGCCGAGAGAGAAGAATCGTCTCGCTGTTCGTCTCTCGTTAACGTTTGTATTAAAAAGTACAAAATGATGGCTCTTCGATCCTAACAGAGACGCGCGAACGATACTTCGTTCCGCTTCCCAGCGATAGAACCGACACGATCGCGAAGAAAGCCTATTGCTTCGTTTTAAATCTAGATTATCAAAATCGGTTTTGGCAGTGCGGATATACTTTCCCTCTGATTCATCCATTTTCCACGAAAATGGCTTTACGATGGACAACGCAACGCAGCGCAGCGAAACTCGATCGAAATTCGAAACGATCGGGAACGATCGAGGCCGCCAAAGTACCGATTTAGAAGTGGGTTTTGGAACAATGGTACAGCGCGGTTGAAGCACGGTTCGTCGTCGATCGATTCGCGAAATTAGGACGACGAGAAGAATGAAGGAACGTGAATAATTGAACGCACGCTCGCGCTAAACTGTAACTATTGTTCCAAATCGGATCTGCATCCTACGGGTCAATAATCATCTTCGAAATTTAAAACTGGTAACGCGGCGCACTAATGGGTGCCACGATTGCAACACGGGGAAATTTATGCTAAAGAAAATTGACGCCGATGCAAATTTATGCTAAGAGAAATTGAAGAGCGATCGCTCGCGGCTTCGGGAACGCCCGATGAATAATGAAGCCGGGGACGGGGCGAGGAAGAATGCGATGAATTAATCGCTCGTCCTTTCCTGGACGATGATCGTAAACGAGGGTCAAGGTCGTCTCGATTTCTTCTCAAACCCTGACACGCTCCGCAGACGCGTATTTATATCTTCCAAAGTTAAATTTTATCGGATTAATTGGACCGTGTGTGTACCAATTTTCACTTGGATCCAGTTATTCCTTCTCGCGCAAAAAGAAAAATCAGAATTTCGAATCTATTTTCCCAAATCGCGAAAGGGCCGAGTCGTCGCGTAAAAATAAATGGAAACAGTCGTTGCGTGGTCTCAGGATCGAGAATGGCGGCCTGAAGGGTCCTCGTCGCTGGCTGGCGCCGTTTATTAATAACAATTCGAACAAAGTAGCGACTCGTATCGGCCACGTATCGTCTCGTTAAATTCGCGTTTATAAATAACCGATCGGGCAGCTGCGTTTCACCGCGCGTTGCGTCTGTCATCGTTCAGTTCTGTTTCACGTTGCAACGAGTGCATCGGATGGATCCTAGACAGAGATGGGCGAGACATCCGTAGAAAAGTTTCAAAAATTACAGAATCAAATCGTATCCCACGTTGAACGTATAAAATCGATGCAACCGTACTAAATAAAAAAAGATTTCCTGTTTATCTTACCATGTTAATGCAGGGCTTAGAGAAACGTTAAAAAAAAACGAAATGACATTCCAAGTTGAACGAATAAAAATCGATGTCAGAGTTTCCTGTTCGCGAGATCCAAACGTACCTCAAAGTACAAAATCTAAAGAAACGAGCACCTGGGGGGCTCGTTTTTTGGCAGAACGTTTCTACGGTTCGACAAGGTTCTGCCCACCTCTGACCGCGGAGCATCAAGACGGACAACTCGACGTCGCGAAGTACAAATTACGATTCGAGCTCGAAATTCGAACCGGAACCGCGACGAGGCGCCTCCCACGAGAGGCCTCGAACCGCGGCCTCTATGAATATTTGTCGCTTCGGGTTGTTTTCTCTGCCTCGCCATTGTGTCCCACCGAGACAATGAACTATTCAAAGTGTCAGCCTCGGTGCGCTGGTACCGTTTGCTCCGCTGGCCCACGGGGACGCTCGTCCGCGTCGAGCATTCTTGCCCGGGGAACTTTCTTCCTTCAAGGTCGACGACCTCCCGACGACCAAACCGCGCCAAGTTCACCCTTTGTCGGTCAAAGTTCGCCGTGGTTGCCGCGATCCTGCCGGAAGTTTATCCGAGCGTTTCTCTCGCGAACGGCGAAAGCTAGAAAAAAAACCTTTTCCGCACGACGCGTACGGTTCTTCGCGATGCTCGCAAAGTTCGACGATCCCTTTCGATCCCGCGCGTCCATTGTACGCGGATCTTTGTTCCACGGCGAAAGAAACCGTGGCTTCCGGCAGGATGTGGACGCGCGCGGAATCCTCGAGGTCGTTTAGCAGATGGTCTCCAACGGGGCGGTCTTCGTGCTCGGGTTCTGAGTGACGCTGTCGCCCATGCTGGGCATCCCGTGGCTGGTGGTGCTCAGCCCGTTCCCCTGCCTTCCGGCGTTGGTCCTCGGGTTCCTGTTGCAGATCCTCTTCAGCGCAGCGCGTACCTGCGGCTGGCAGCCAGCCACCGCGAAGATCAGCACGCCCTGGAAGGCGTTTATCATGTCCGTGAAGTACCAGATGTATTGGGGGCCGCCGACTGCCCACGAGACCACGTCGGCCACCCAGGTGACGCCCATCACGACCACCAGCTTCATGCAGACTCGACCTAGAGCGGCTCTGAAACGAGAAAAGTTCCCATCATCAGTCGAACGATCCCACTTCGAAACCGGTGCCTAGGATCTGGGTGAGTCTTATCATTTTTTTAAAACATTTCTCGATTTACTGCAACGTTTGGATAGTCCATCCAGCAGTTAAGGGGTGATTTTATATGGAACGGTCGTTTTGTAATATTTTTTAATTTAGGACGTGGTTCTTCATCTTGTTCGAGATTACTACAAGGTTTGGAAACTGAATTTTCCTGTTCGCAATTTACAAGGCTACGCAGGGTTCATCCACGCACTTCAAAGATAGATTCTACACAAAAGAGCAATAGCAAAAGTTCATATAAAGATATCTTCAATTTGACCCCCTTTTCAAGTAATAGCGAATTCTATGCGGGAATAATTTGTCCAAAAAATAAGGATAGTTGGACTAATATCACTCAACTATTTATGAACAGAACCCCAGTATTTGACAGTAAATACTTCCTATGAACATCAGAGTACCATGTGTTGTCAGACTACTAAAATACATCGTGTCAATAAATAGCAGATATGAGCCATGAGTATGGGTCTATTATTGACGATAACACCCTCACATATTTATCGCGACGACAGGTATAGTCTACGAAAATGAAATTCATTACCCCGTTCATTATATTGTATGTTTCTCGTTCTAAAGGAATGCTAGAGTTCCGCAAATATACCGCGGGATGAAAAATGTTCCGTGATTAAAAAAGTTCGCGAAACGGTAAACCGGGGCCCGGGGTCTTGATTGGCCGTAGGAATTCGGTAAACCACGTGGCCAATTGCTCCGCTTTTCAGAACTTTGTTTCGAGCCCTTTAAAAACAGTTCGTTGCGAACCTTCCCTGCTTTATTCGCATTTTATCCATAAAAGTTGAAGCGTCTACACATTCCCTAATCCCGGAAGAGGTACGATTTTTGTACACAAATTAAAATCACCCGACGTTGAATGGATATTGAAAAATATGCACCTTCTCCCGCGGGATAGAGGCGAACGAGTATTAAATCGTCGAGAAGCTGCGAATGGTCGTGCGGGCAATGTTTCAACCGGGAACAATAAAAAGTCGCGGATAAAGCAAATAAAGCCGCTAAATGTGATTTATATCGGTTCGATCGGACGATGGGGGGGGCAGGAGACCGGCCGCAACGACGGATTCTTTTCAGCGCGATGTGTCTCGCTCGGAGGCGGCGTCCCCGTTGTCGAGCAACGCAGGATACGCAACGAATTTCCGGGCGACAAAAACGTTCCCGATTCAATTAGCGCGACGTTCAATTACGACGGGCATAAATCAGCCCCGCGAACGTATCCGTTTGTTCGTCATGACACGTTGCGCCGCCCGCGTAATGTATGCATCGCATTGTGGTCGGAGTCAAAGCATTATTAATACGTTCCGGCAGAATATTCCCGGCTCGTTACGGTGTCGTGTCGCGGAATTGCCGAGTTACAAAGCTCCGGGACCCTCTTTCCCTGCTACCCCGTCCACACCCACTTGCCAGAAACCGGTGTCCCATATCTCAACCCCCCCTGCCTTTCTCTGATTAATGCGATACACTTTACTCGCGGACGTTTATACTCTTGTATCCAGCGATTCCAAGACGTCTCATCTCGATTCGTTCCACAGGACCATTTTTCAATACCAAATGGAAATGAAATTGTTGCACCAATTAAAGTTAACTTGGTAGCTAAGAATGTCTCTAAGGGAACCGTTTGACCCCTTCTCGTGGTGTTTAGCTGGACGAAATCCAGGCCCAAAACGTTAGGTAAACAGACCAGATGCTAAACTGCTTCCTAACAGAGGCTATAAGAATCGTGACCAACCGTTGTGGCTCATGTTTACGTTTGGGCCAAAATCTTCATCGCGAGTCAGACTCGTTAAAGTACGGAAAGGGTTAACAGAATTGGATGCAACCTTGCGTGTCTAGGATTGTTATACGTTTAACGACACGCTGTTAGAACTTTCGATACCAAGAGAATGCACTATAGATCCTACCAGTCGTTAACGCGTTGTTAACCCTGAATTGCACCGGTCAAATAAAAGCAATCTCCGCAATAAAAGCAGTTTGCCGAATTTTATGGGATTCGATCACGGAAAGTAGCCCCTGCAAGTTCAGCCACTACGTTGATTAACTCCTGGATACGCGAACCAAATGAAATTTCTTTTCACAATTCGATCGAGCATTCCTTAATCAGATTTTTAAATTATTTCGACGACGTTTACCGTTTTTGTTAGGCGATAATTCTGTCCTTTTCCCGGTCCGATGGGATCGCGATTATGGTTTCCAGGCAACTTTGGACGATCTCTAAATGTAGCGTCCATCAGAGGGAGGACAGATTATGAAAGTCAAATCAGCGACGCGAACGTTCGCGTAAAGTTTGACTGGGGCTGTTACGCGACCGGATGGTCGATCGACCCAACGGTGAACAACGAAATGATGGATTTTCGGCGTACGGTTGGCATTGTCGCCGGTGAAGCGTGTTGTATAATACTTGTTGTTCCGTATGTTGAATTGCAATCGACAAGCTGTGTTATTGTTATTATTATTAAACGCGAGGCAGGCTTTGAGCCGGGAACAAACGACGCGTCGCATCGATGGGCCATTTAGGGGCGCTTCGACCATAGAAACACGGTTTTTTAATCGGTAAAGATCGCACGATTACCCGTACGAACCGATGCAAAATCAATTTTATTTCTATGAACGTACAGTAAGATTCTTCACGGTTTATAGAGAAATCGTATTAGGTTGGAAATTGTAGAATACAGAGGAAGTAAAATTGAGAGATTCAGGAAAGGTTAGGAGGCTTAGAAAAATTTAGAAAATGTATAAAATGTACATTGCGTGGTATTTATGGTGTATCGTCCTAATGAATCAGTAGGTTTTCTTTACATTTTCTCACGCTAATTATATCTTATAACGATGTAAAGTGAAAACAGATAATCTCAACGTTTCTTAATTTCCTATCCACTCGACCAAGAAGATACGAAGTATCGAATAAACGGTGCTGTGCTCGAAAGCGAAGTAGATCGGGAGATCAGGAATTTACGAGCCGAGGAGGTCCGTAACAACGGGAAGATAATCAGGGAAATGAAACTTGAAATTTACAAGTAGAAATAGATGACTATGGTAACGAGTGGGATGGGAATTAGCTAAGTGGTACGAAAGATCAAGGATCTCAAGGGTCGTGTAGACGAGCGAAGATGACGGATCTGTCCGAGACTTTCGAAGGAGAAAATTTTAATGAATTACACTCGTAAAGCGACGAAAGAAAAATTCCTGTCCACCGCGGAGTGAAATTCGGGAAATAATTGATGGACGTTTAAAAGGATCGACCGCGCGTATACATTTCTATCTCTATTTTATTCATCCGGTCCATTAATTTAAACGGAAATGCTGCTATTATATTATTCACAGTTCGCTCGTATCGCAATAATACCGAGCAACAGCGATCGCGACGCGCGGATGATAAAATCGAAATCAAACAGAGACGGTGTAAACGGAAACTAATGGGAATATTGTTTACGTGTTACTATAAACGATGCAAAAGCGTTTTGTACCGGGGTTTGTTACTTTTCCAGCGGCAATGATTTGCCAACGTTGTTTTAAACTCGTCGTGGTTGGCAATTACATGCACGGGAAACAAATTAGACGCGAGGCTACGGAAACGGAAGGCAAACTCCGCCGGGGATGAACGTTACGAAGCGTCCCGTGATGTGCATAAAAGTTGTCCAGAGCGAACGAACGGTCGATCACCTGTGAACAGCTGCACGAAAGAACACCGAACACGGGAAACATGAAGGAGGACCGATCGAAAGCCGTGAAATCGGCTTTCGTTGACAAAGGAAGCCGACAAGGGGATCCCGTCGTCTTTAAATATTCAAAATTCGGTTTCCATTCCCGTCTAACGAGATCTCTTCCGTAAACTGCTTCAAAGGGTTTCGCGAAACGAGGATTCGAATGTGCCAAAAAACGCGCGAGACAGGGCATCGAAGGAGATCGAGGAACGAGGGAAAATCATTCGCAGCGGACAGGCTCGGGTTGTATTTTTGTTCGATGCTTCAAATTAATGCCAGTCCGCGCGTTTCGAAAGAAAGAAGGATCGCCGACTAGTTAATTGACGTAACGAGATAGAAGGGTGGATATGGATTGTTAGCGTCTCTGCCGGGGACTGGAAATATCGATGACATTAATAACGAGAAACGAGAGAAAAAAAAAAAGAAAAAACAGAATCCGGGGGGGAAAGCTGTCATAATGGCCATCGATATACGGCTCCGATCGCTCGTTACCGCCGATATAATACGACGGACGTTTATTTCACGACCACTTTGCCCGGCTGTACAACGAACGTCCTTGTTTGCAACTATAGACGGTGTATCAACTTCTCTGCGGCGTCCATTAGGATAAAAAGAATCACGGAGCACGTTTCTAACCCGAAGGGATTAGCGGTCACGGTCTGAAAATAACACGCTCGACGTAATACTGAAATATTACGCGAGGTTAGTAACCGCGGTCGTTCTTTCCACGACTTCTTCCGTCTCGTCGAGTCAAAGAAACTACGGTTCGCTTCAGACACTCGGCAGAGTCTTGCGGAGTTTCGAAAAAGTAGAAATTTTCTTCACGGACAACGAATACGAATTTTAGGGCTCGCTCTGCGAGTTTCGCGAAAAATTCGCGCGACGCGTCCGACCATTAGTCGCTGCTTCTACTTATGACGTTCTCGACCCTCTGCTGTACAGCCTGACTCGTCAGAAATTCCTGTTTCACGATGACGAGGCTCAACTCGCGGAACTACGGTTTCTCTAAGCAATGCACCGTGTGGAAGAATCCTAAGAAAATTAAATACATTCCGAAATTTACTCGAAATTAAATCGTGCTTTTCGAAGACCCGTACAAGAATCTACAAACTTATTTATACGTTAAAGGAATAAAATTGCCATTGATTGCGTAGTATAAAATAGTAGTTTTAACAGTCTCCAGGGAGACTCTTTGAGCTTTAGTTTTGAAGATTCGTCCCGTGAGTAGTGGTGACAGCATCTGAGAAGGCCTGTGTCACCCAGCCGACGATTATAGCGCGTGTTTTATCACATTCAACCGACAACCTTGTCGACACGGGTCCAAGCATAATTCAGAAGGGTTTCCTTTGAGCGATCCGAGTTTTATTCGCGTCGCGTTTATTTCGGCCACCGGGACCTTTTAAATCGCGAAGCTGTAGTATGCCATTCAGCGGGAGCCCCGTGAATGAACTTTCTACGACCTTCGCGTGCTTTCAGGTCCCCGCTATCGCCGTATTATCATGAATTATTCCACCAATTAACGCGTTGCAATCCGTGAATTAACAGGCAACGAAAGCAAGAAGAGTTTCCCCCAAAGTTTGATGAAAACAGCGCGGAAATTACCGGCGTGTATTTTTAGCGCGTGGCTCATTGGCAACGCGATACGAAGTACAATGGCGTTTAAAAGTTTCCCCGACGATCATATTTTTAATTGCCAGGCTCGTAAATTCAAAATTTAATATACGATCCATGATCCATAGAATTTTCAAAATTTGAATCGTTTCCTTGTCCATAAATTTTTCTTTCGCAGCTCCACGAACGAACGAAAGTTTCACGATTTTCGTGCACCGAAGCCACTGTTTTTATTCGCGCGATAAAATTTTAACAAAATCTGAAGCTCGAAAGCATGTTTGACGTGCCCCGGGGAGAAATATCTCGGGTTCCTGTTATACGCTCCAGCTTCGTAGCTCGTTATCCTCATTATATCCGAATTCAATGTTATTCAAAATTCATTTTGCCTCTCGAGGAAGCAAAGTTAGACAACCGATCCGTCCGGAAACTTTTCCGCGTCGTTCTGTGTTCCGACGGTGTTAACAGACAAATGTTTTGGCTTCCCCATCGATCCTCCGTGGCAAATTTCTTTCGGACGATTTTTTAAACTAAACTCTGCGAATAATCGCTGCTGTAACAACAGGATGCCCCGAAAAAGACGCGGCTGTCGGGGAACGTAGGAAAACATCGTGCTAACATAGATCGGCGGATCAACCTTCGCCGGAGATCAAGAATGGTTTCTATTTTTAAGCCGCCATATTTATTTCTGATCCGCGAAAAGGATCCTACGTGGTCGTTTCGCGTTGCAGCGCAGACCATGTCGTACCAGATCGCGTTTTGAAAAATGCTCGGGCATGAGTCGTATTGTTTAACAGACGCGCGCGTGCGTTCGCCAGTCTGAGTCATCATCGGATAAATGAACCTCTTTGTGTATCTCGTAAAAGAACGCTCGAGAGGATCCTGGCAAATATAGAAACGAACTTGCTAAATTTATTTGCATCGTTTCTTGCGTCCAATGTTTCATTCAAAAACATTTAGTCACGATTGTTATTTAAGATCTTCTAGAAAACCCCCACCTCGAGGAAACCTTGAAGAGCACGTTGCTTCTCCATTCAGAAAGATCTAGCCATTACGCAGAGCAAATAAATGAAATCAATTTTCGTTTGTTTTAAACTGAATAAAGTTCGGGCGCAGCGATTAATCAGGATAACGTGTCTGTTGAAAGATACGACTGGTCCAAGTACCGCGAAGCAACGCCACGAATATCAATAAACTCTCCCCCCCCCTGAACGAGATCAGTCGTAAATTACAACGATTGCACGATTTTTTCAAAATCGTTAAGCGACGTATCCGTTTCCGTTCCCGTCGATGTCAATTTCATTGTTCAAGTTCGTTTCAAGATCACGTTGTTGCGGGACCACGTTGAAAACTTAATATCTGGAACATGTGGAAATGTTTTAAGAACCTGTTTGGAAAGATCGAATAAATTTCTAATGGAGAAACAAACGAAGGCGCGCGTAACAGGTGATATTTTTCACCGTTCCCTACAACTCTTTCAGCCCTGTAATTCCCTATCGCCAAGCCCGTAAATCGACGCTGGCCTGCAATATTAATTCGTAGATCATAATTTCGTTCGTCCACTCCGCGCGTTTCGAACCCGCGCACCGAATATTTGTGTATCGACGTAACGCCCGGTCGATGAAAAAGAGCGAGCTTCTCGAAATTACGAACGGGGAGGAAACGTACGCGCGAGAGAGAATCCGTATCCGCCATTATGGCGGCGGGGGGTACGGGGGAGGGCTCGACCGAAAGAGAATCGCAAATTGAGATCGTCAATATCAATTTCGCGCCGGTACGAGGGAGCAAAGGTGGTTCGAAGGGACCCGTGGAACGGTCGAACGAATGGAAAATAACGATTCGATGCCTGATATCTGTCGGCGCGGCCGTGATAAAATAAATTCTCCTTTGAGTCTGCTCTATAAAAAGGCGCGCTCGCATAAATATCCGGAAAAAATGCGACTCGTCAAACGACACTTCGACCGTCGAATCCCGGGGACAATGCCCTTCGATCTGACAATTTTCTTCGACGTTTTTCACGGCCCTCTGTGCTTCGTTAATTTTTATTTTCAGCACAGGGTTCTTGGGGTATTTTATTATTTTCGATGCACAGAAATAAAGGACGAAACTCATGTACAATTTTTGCAGCATATTCTTTAACATTTCAAGATACAAAGATTTTTTTTTTGTTACTTTGGATGAAATAATAAATTATTCCTTGTGTCAATGGCGTTGATCGGTGTGCAGTTTAAAATTCTGCTTAGAAAATGCAAAATTGTCGAAGATACACGTCTCTGAATACAATAAATGATCCTCTCAATAAATTTCTAATTTAATTATGCAATAAAAAATAGTTTAAATAATTATTATTACGAAGGATGTTAGTCGACATTTATTATTTTATCCACAGTCTTGAAATGTTAAAGAAAATATGAACCCTTAAATTCTAAAGAAATTGTCAAATATCGCTTCTCCCGCGTTAAAGGGTTGTCGCGCGTCCCTCCGAGCGGAAGATCCCGATAATCTGCAGGAATATCGTCGCGAGCCAGTAATCCTTGATGTTTATCCGCCCCGGAGCGTTGTCCTTCGCGCCGAAATAAAGCATCGTTGGCGAGGATGGAGGCAATAAAACGAGCGATCCTCCTCGCGGCTCGAGCGTATCGCGTTTCCGCTGCTCGCTCCTGTTAATCGTTGTATATCGCGCCGGAGAACCGAATAAACGAGCTTCTTTAACACGGCTGGAACGCGGTTTAAGGTTTCCCGAGCTCGCCAACTCCGCTAATCGTTCCCGAAACGAACTCGAACAACCCCAACCCTCGAAATATCCTGCAGCGTCTCGATCCGCGAAACGAGGCATCCAAGATCCGGCCAAAGTCGCCCTCTAATTTTGGATCTCGAAACTTTTAATCCCGCGCGACGATTCTAGAAACCATAATGTTCCTGTAAACATTCATTTCGCGAAACGATTTCGGGGCGAATCACCGGACGCGCGGCCGATTCTTTTTCCGAACGTTGTAAAAGAACTGTTAAACGTTCGTGGAAAAAAATTTCGCGGCAAATATTTGCTGGAAACAAAGGCGCAGAAACGCCAGAGACCGTGTTTGCGGGTCTGGCTTCCAGGTAAATATTTCTTTTTCTCTCGCGGATATGCACAGGGGGGGAACAGGCGTATCCGGCGCCGGATCGAATCTCGAGGAACCGTCTCGTAAACCGCGAACGGAACTTAATTTAGCTCGGAGTTTTCCAAGGGAGTTTCCCTTTTGGTTTAGGTCGTGGAACCCGGAAAAATTCGCTTACCTTTCCGTGGTGCTCTTCACGAACTCGCCCTTCCAGAGGCCGCACGTCAGCTCGCGAGCGGTCGCCGCGAAGAACAGCAGGTTCACCGCGAGCAGGACGCCGATGGGCCCGAAAAAGTACGCCAGGATCTCCATGTCGCCTGAAACGGGGAAACAGGAAAACTTGTAGAACGAAAATTTAAAAAAAAAATTAGCTGTGTATCCTTGTGAAGATCCGCGCTGCGTATCGGAGATGCAAAACAGATACAAGGCTACGCCGGTTCGTAAAATACGGGTGTAATTTCGCGAATTTAACGCACGAAAATGATAAACAAGGTAACATAAACATTTGTCCTAGCCGACCTTGTTTTCCGATTTAGGCGAACCTTCCAGGGGGACTCGGGCGAAACACGTGTTATCGAGAGTTACGGTGTACATTGCGATTTAGCAGGAAACAGTAAACAGAGATTAAACTTTGCCAAGCGAGTTTGGAGAACTCTTTGAAATAGAAAATATTACACCCCCCCGAAAAAAATGAATTTTGGACGAGTTTTATTTGTTCCTCGAGCGAGAATCGCAACATTTTCGTGGTCGTCCACGCACGCTCGAGCGACGCGAGAAAAGAAACGAGAGCTGGAAACGCTCTAAATATCTGGATCCTCGCTGCCTCCGAGTCCATGGCGTGGCGTGTTCAATAATAAACGCGGCGATCGGCTGAATGGCGAGCCGGTTTATCTTCACGACGTGTAATTCGACACGATGCGTTAGCAGACGCGCGATTCATCGCACGCAGGAAACGTAGGACGAGGCTAAACCGGAAGTCGGAGTCACCCGGGCACACCGTCAACGATTAAACTATTACGCGAAATGTTGGCTACCGGGTGAACGACTTCGACCAGCGACGCCCGTTTGTCGTGCTTTGCTTATTATATTTCGAACTTCTTGTTTGCTATTGCCAGACGCGGAAATCTGCTTTTAACCATCGGTGCAACGTCTAACACCTAATACCAGGAGTCGGATACTGTTGCACCTAATAGCAAACTCCGAAATAACTGCACAGGAATCGATATTATTAATAGAAGTAATTTCTCTTCCATTCTTATTATTAAAATCGTGAAAGGAATCAGTGAGAAATCTAGAGACACATTTTTATTAACATTAGCAGTCGTTGCTAGTCTTCTAGGAGGAAGGATGAAAAAATGTACAGTAGTGTTTATCCGAAATGTCCGAATAATTTTTCGACGAAATTAGAAAATTTCAAATCGTGCTGGAAAAATTATTTTCAGCTGCAGGGATCAATTACAATTATTTTTGGTGAATAGATATACCCACGAAATCCTAACCATTTTCGAGAAAAAAATTCGAGAAAGTGAAATTTTTCGGCGAAATTAGAAAATTTCAAATCGTTCTAAAAAAAATATTTTTGACTACAGGGGTCAGTTACAATCATTTTTGGTCGATAGACATATCCTCGAAATCCTACCCACTTTCTAGAAAAAAATTCGAGAATTGTGAAATTTTTCGACGAAATTAAAAAATTTCAAATCGTGCTGGAAAAATTATTTTCAGTTGCAGGGGTCGATTATAATCATTTTTGGTCAATAGACGTGTCCTCGAAATCCTACCCACTTTCTAGGAAAAAATTCGAGAATGTGTGAAATTTTTCGACGAAATTAAAAAATTTCAAATCGTGCTGGAAAAATTATTTTCAGTTGCAGGGGTCGATTATAATCATTTTTGGTCAATAGACGTATCCTCGAAATCCTACCCACTTTCTAGAAAAAAATTCGAGAAAGTGACATTTTTCGGCGAAATTAGAAAATTTCAAATCGTTCTAAAAAAAATATTTTTGACTGTAGGGGTCAGTTACAATCATTTTTGGTCAATAGACATATCCGCGAATTCCTACGGACTTCCGAGAAAAAAATTCCTAACCGAAAGTATAACGTGTGTTGAGAAATGTTTCTGTAATTTCATTTTCTGTCCCACTTTTTCTTGTGTTCGACCAAGAATTTCACCCAGTGGGAAAAGATCGGGTATTTATCGAGGGGCGTGGAGGAAATTGAAGCACCGAAGTAGCAATTGCACGGATGGCTAATATACGACAATGGGTGGCCGCGGGATTCCGAATGCAAAGGAGTTTGGCGCGCGTAGGAGGCGCGTTCGAGGAGGAATTCAAGGACAAATTCCATCGAAAATAAAAAAAAAAAACACATACAAACTGAACGGAGGGAAAGATTTCCGCGATCCGCTTCCCGGTGAATAGGAAACGAACTGGAGGACGAGTTTTCGTGGCCACGCCGTGAATCGCGGAATAACGATAGGCAAAAGCTCGATAATCGATGACAGACAAATAAATCTGGCGACGGCTGACGACGATCGGTTCCCGCGACTTCACGGAAACCACCGGAAACTCTTCTGTGTTTACGAACGACAGGATAAATCGTCCCGTTCCGATTCCCGTGTTTCTATTCGCGGAATTTTCGAACAAAATTGCATATTCGAAAATAAATCGTATACTCAAAACTCGATCGATGTTTACCCATACCGGTCGCGCCAAACTAATTTTGGCTCGAGGGCCAATTTACAATTATTTTGCGCCGGGAGCCCCGAAAATATTTCAAAGGTCCGCGAGAAGGCGGGAGGAGAACAATTTCCATGTAAATAAGCGAAATACTTTTATTTATAAGACGGCGTAGGCGCGGTAAATAAAAACTTTTCTCCCGAAACGTATTATTATTTCTTCGTTCTTTTCGCCCAGATATTTGGCAACGCTTTTCAAATATCAAACGCGTCGACGTTTGGCATGAAATTTCCGTACCGACGTTATTTTTAACGTCGAAGAAAGGCACAATGTCGTTCGCGTTAATTAATGACTCGGTCCCGCCGATGATATTTCTCCCGTCGAAATTCATTTATCACGAGGCGACATTTCGATTATTTCTTGTCCTGCTCTTGCGTCACGCTGATCCTACGTCTCCCGTTTTATCAGCGGTTAATTTACGTGCACGCGTCGTTTAGATATAACTGTACATTAATGTATACATCTATGAAAAAAAAACGCAACAGATGGCCGGGCACGGTTGCATCGTAATAAACAATTTTAACGAAGAGACATTACCGGTAGAGCCATTAATTGACTCGAACATCATTATTCTTAAGCACAGCCGCTATAACGATCTTTCTTACGCCGAAGATGGACGTTGATTAGTTAATCTCGCGTTTTATTGGTTTTTAAGCGTAACTTTTATGCGTCTGACCGCGCTGATTCATTATTTCTCGCGTCCCGTATTATTGAAACGTTACTAAGCATATAATAATAATACGTCTCCGTCGCGGTGAACTTCGTCCCGCAAGAAATAAAACGAAAATAAACGCACGGAATTAAAATTAAATATACATTAGGGATGCAAAGGCGATTTATAGCGCGGCGTTATTACCACGACCGAGTAATAAGGCTTGCAGTAAAAAAGATCGAGCCCCCGCGTTTGATGTCTCCGAATATACAACCCGCTGTTGGCGATCGCTAAACTTTATCGGTCGATTGTAAAATACGTCGCGGAGCAGACGATTTCTGGGAACGTAAACACCGTTCCCGATGCGTGTCCGTTTCGAGAACTCGTGGTTTGAAGACGTTGGATCGAGTAGTCGGTTCGTAAATACCGCCAGCTCGCATTAGTTGACGCCCGCGATTCGAATTGCCGCCCTATCTGCAGCTTGTAATTGGGACGATTGCAAAATCTACTGAAAATAGACGGGTTCCACGAACGTAAATAAAATCTCTCGCGTGCGTGAATTAAAGGGCTGTTTGAATTCTACGAGAATTATCACCGACGCAGATGCTCGAGAGGTCCGAATAACTCTCGATTAACAATAATCAAACTGCTTCCAGATTTACTGGAAAAACTATTTTGGAGCTAGGCGATTTCTACGAACGTATTTTGAAAGTTCAGAGAAAGAGTCGAGGAGGATCGTTCTAGGTGACTTTGATCTGCGATTGACGATTGATTAATTGCAAGTCGAGTTTTTTGGAACTTTGCTTCCGAGCCAAGAGTTGCTTTTGAGCGTTTATTTGGATACATCGAACGAAAAATAAGATGGCGAAATAATTGAAAGCTTCGGGAGAAGTATTCGAGGGAGGAATCGTTTTCGTATAATTTGTAGGAGTTTGTTTTCGTAACGAAACGTTGTGTTGTTTCTGTACTTCCGTCGCGTTACATTTATTTCGGACGTTTCGACCCGGCGCGCGAATAACGTCGGAATGATTTCGTTAAAGGTACCAGGGTACGCGTGTATTTTAATTACTCCGATATTTTCAATATTCCGCGCTTCGATGTCGTTAATTGGATCCATTTGTTCCCCTTTCCAAGATCCCATTACAACCGATTCGCGTTTTCGGATATTTCTCGCGGTCGCGTCTCCTCCCCCCATGCCCCGCGTGTCATTATTCTCCGCAATTTCCATTGTTTCGTTACGCTCCTCGTTCGCTCTCGTTATCCGAAACGATTTCGAGAACGGTCTGCGTTGCACGAAAATCAACCACCGTGTCCACTACCAGCCGCCTCCATCGCGAATCCAAAGGGATTCTCTCGTTCCTTTTGCCAAGGGATTTCGATATTAAAATGAGTAAATCGCTCCGGGGCGGTGACTAATTAGAAATACTATTCACGTAACAAACAGCTATTTCGAGAAAAATGAGAAGTTCGAGAGGAGGAGCCTAATCACGGTCGTTTCCCCTCGAATCTCGTTTCTTCTCGAGGTGAGAAAGCGGCAGGGATTGTGTAGGTGCTCGGACGAGATTCGCGGGGGCACGGAATTCTCGCGTCGAACACGCGAAACCGTCGATCCCTCGGCGCGTTCTTGGCGAAATTACGTCGAATCACGGCAGCGTGTACTTATCGAGCCCCGTGGGCGGAGGAAGGCAGGGGATCGAGGGGCGGGTGCGTGTCTAGATCCGTGCAAGATCGCGAAATCCCCGGAATTCGCGGAACACCTATGAATATGAATACCGTTCGTTCCCGATGTAATACGGAGGGGCCAGTTTTCGTGAATACTCGTTTCGACTAGGCAATCTGCTAAGTATACGCGCGTAGGGAAGCGCGGATAACTAGTTTCCGACCAAATTGATACGTTGCTCTCTCCCCCTCCCCCTCCCACCCTT